CACGCAGTAGAACGCAAACTCAGAACATTACGAATTATAATGGAAGTGGGCCACAGCGGGCCTGACATGACGCAGCGCGCAAGCCTGGTCTCTTCAGAAACGCAAGCAACAGACCACCCCGCTCTGGAGGGTTCTGAACTAACGCTTTTGAAACCAGATTCGTCGACGCAGAGTCGGCCCCCCAAGGCCGTGGACACACACACACAAGACTTTCAGGCAACTCAATCTCGAAATCCGACTCGGTCCGGTCGCTTTGACCGACGCGTCTGAATACATGCTCTCCCGGATGCAGGTAGGGCCTACAAGTGTAAAACAGGTACTCAGGTGGACCATCATTATGCGAGAGGACCGCGGCAGGCCGCACATCAACATCTTTCCCGGACGTATGATTCCTCTCCTCCTCCGAATGGCAGCGCCAAACTCGGTGAACCACGCTCTCAGGCGCTCTGCGCCCGAGCAGGCAGGAGAGGTCCTCAAGCTGGCACTCTGCTGCTGCTGCTCTCTGTACCAAACTGCAGTGCACGCGCGCGCGCCAGCTTTGATCCAACCTTTCTGGTATGCTGCGCAATCTCTCGGACTGCAACTGCGCGCGCACCTGGCCGCGGTGGGCCCTGACAGGCTGGGGCGAGCTGAGCAAAAACTTGCTACCATGTGTTTTCTACGCAAGTGAGCGACGGGCAGCTCGAGACGCCTCTCGAGCAAGGCGGGCGAGTCATGACCGCGAAGCCAGGCATGGACCAGCCGACCCCAGCAAGGCTGAGCAGCACGGCAGAGACCCGGCGCCGAGCTCCGCCTAGTTGCCAGGCGCTGGCCCGAGATACACAGGCTGCCGCGCACCCCGTCGCTCCTTCCAAGAAAGCACAACCTGAGAATGGGGGTCCTGACGCGAGTTCCCCAGACCCCCATTGAACCACCTGGGAACGGGCGCTTTGGAGACATGGCACGCGGGGCCCTTCTCGAGGGCCCGAACAGGTGCAAGCGAGCAGAAGCCCGACTTGGGCGCTATGCACCTACCAAAAGCACGCTTCGCAACACCCTACCCATGAACAGAAACTCCAGATATTTCACATCAGTAGCAGCGTCGCGGCAAGGACCCCGCGTCGAAGAGCTCCCCGGCGCGCCGTCCTAGGGCCCGTCGCATCTCGAGGGCCCGGCGACTTTAACCGTGAGATGGACCGCACGAAACCTGAAACACTGGAACGCCCTGCGGGCATGCGAGGCCGGCCCGAGGCGCGATCGACACCGAGGTTGGCCGCAGAAGCGACGACCTCATTGTCCGCCTACGCCCTGGGTTTCCTTTCCTGCGCAGCGCCATGGCCGCGCACTTGTGAGAGGCACCAATGCTCGCCATGCCCTCAGAGATACTGCCTCCGAGCCAACCGACTACTGCGTCCCGTGGCTGCGCATCTGCTGGCGCGAGGTCACTGATAACGCGCGATGGCATGCCTGACGAGAGCAGCCCATAGTCATCCACGCAGGCGTCGAACGACGCCGAAGGCGGAATCTCGGCGCGGTCCAGCGGGCCAATGGCACAATCACAACTGTCGGTGAGGACGTGCGATACGGACGCAAGCTCTCGGGCCGCCCACGTCGACGCATTTCGAGCGGGGCTGGCAAATCGACAGGGGCGGAGCCGCTTGCGACGACTCCAAGCCCAGCATGCTTCGGCCCCACCACCAACCCGCCTAGGCTGACAAACCTGTCACGGCGATACTTGAACCTGACCATGCGGGAAATAGTGGGATCAAAACCGCGGCCAGAAGGAAGTCAAGCTCGATGGTTCAAAAACGCTCGTCAAGGTCCCACATGAGTGGCCGACGCAAGTCGTCATTCACGGCTGGCCCCGATCGGGCCACTCGCATCCATGCCACATCCGTGGAGGAGCTAAACTTCCCATCGACAAGAAAACCTACGGCGTTGCTCCTCCCAAGAGACCGCACAAGCCCTCCCCCCCGTGCCCCACAATCGATAAATCGGGAAGAAACCTCCAGACTGCATGGCCAAAAGGGACATGGCGGCGACGCCCCATTGCATAGGAACGGGACCGCTGATCTCCATGCCGCTACACGCGATGGTCAAAATTTCTGGGGGGGCGCCCAGGAGGGGGGCGACGTGCGCCACGTGGAAAACCCCACAGAAATCGTCGCACTGCGCCGGATAAACTCCCCGCCGAAGCCTCCGAGGCCATCCAGGGAAATCCGAGAAAGGGCAAACGGAAGCGAAAAACTCACTCAGCATGGCCCCCAGTCATCCGGAGCCTGCCAAAACCGAGCACATCTAGAACCTCGAAGGAAGGCCTTTGGACCCGCATTACAAGCGCCACAAGCCGAGAGGGCGGTAGCGGGGGGCCACGGGGCAACGCCTTTGACCACCGAGGGGGCCCGCTCGGCCCCGCCTTCATCTTCGCCGCGCATCTATCGCCCCCAACTCTCCGGCGATCTCTGCCGCGCCAATGCCTGCGCGGCGCTCATAGCGACGTCGAGCCGGGAGGGGAGGTCGCGAGGGCCTCGGCTGCAATGCTCCGCAGCGAGGGAGGCGAAGGCCGTTCGGCGCTAAGCGCCATACTGGAGCGCGCCGTCCTGCAGAAGGTTGACGACATAAAAAAGCCGCGGACGCCCAGGCGGCCTGCCCCGTCGCGCCCACCCCCGCGGCGGCCAAGAAAAGTCGGCGCTGCTAGGTTGGCCATTCGATTGCACATAAGTCGAGCAGCCCCACGCGGGCTTTCCAATCTTGCTCGAGCAATAACACTGGCCCAAGCAAATCGACTTCACGCAGTCTGCCCTGGGGCCAGCACGCATCGCTTCGTCCGCGTTGGACCGCGTCGCCGCCACCCGCCTGGACAAGCGCGCAGCCACTATCCCGGCGCAAAAGCGCGATCCCCACGAGGCGGCCCAGGGAAGGGGCCAGCGATGGGATCGACGGGGATGAGCGGGGCCCCCTGAACTGAAGTCCGCGCCGCTGCGCGAGCAGAGGGCGGAATGCCAATCAGGGGGAGAGGGGCGCGGGGGCAGGCGCAAGCAGCCCGGGTCACCTCAACGCTGGCCAGACCCTGGGATGGCCCATGAGAAACCACGAAATAATCTGGCAACTTGAGCCCCCCCGTGAAGGCGCGCCCCCCTGGGCCCCCGGCAGGCGCAACGACTCTCCCGCGGCGCGCCGTGGCTCGCCCGGACTCGAGCGGGAACTGGGGCTCGAAATTCTATTCGCCCCGAGAATCGATAGCCCTGGCTATACCTCAACAGCGATGACCGAATCCGCGAGGACGCAAACGCCGGCGTCGCTCAACCCCTGGCCGCGGCGGAGGTAAAGGCTGACGTAGAGAACGGAGTCCCCGCCTGGAACGCCAAGGACACCTGCAACCACCCAATTTGGAAACACAGCGCGGCCTCCTGGAGGCGGCCCGAAACCAAAGAAAGAACGAACCGAAATCCCAACTCCCGCCAACGTTCCACCAGCGGGGGGCGAAATGGGCCAGGGCGAAGCGCAACTGCCACCCGCGGGCCCCCGCCCAGAACAAGACACGACCCGCCTCAGCACATGCACGAAGGCGATGTTCCTGCAATGGGATGGCCCAGGATTGCAAACGGCGGGGACCACGGCAGCGGCCGCGCCCACGGGGGCCCAGGACCTGGCCAACGCAAGCTGGCACACGCACCAGACGCTCGGCCGGAGCATCAAGACGAGCCCCCGGCTGCCTCGGGGGGGCCCAGCCGAGCCCAGCACTCAGGCGCGCAGAAGTCAGGCCCCACGGGGGGCGGCGGCTGGCATGACGTCGCGCGCGCCTGGCATATCCCTGACCTGACGCCGCCGAGAAAGCGGGCGCCATGAGAGGGCGCAGCCTCCGCGGCGCCCCACGCAGGCACGCGCAGAAGGGGAACCCAGCGACGCGGCCGCCCTCTGCGCCCCCCGCGCAAAACGGGCACGCCGGGCACAGAACCGACAGGAGAGAGTTGGGGCGGGAAGAGAACGCGCATCGGATTGCGACAACCGAGCTCTCGCCCACGGCCGACGGCCTGCAGGGGCGCGGACCGGCAGCGCCACCGGGAAGCGACTCGCCCGGCCAGCCGAACGATGGGGGGGCACCTCGGAGGGCGGGCTGGGCGCGACCGCCCAACTCCACAGCCCTCACCAGGCGAGACTAGCGGCGTCTCGCCACGGGGCTTGCACCGGCCCTGCACGCCGCTCCCCCCACCGCTGCTGCTCACAAGCCTTAGCTTCAGACTTGGCGGCCGAAGGGAGGGGGGGGGGGCGGGGCGCCCCGGGGCCGCCCGCCGCGGCGCGCCTTGCCCCGCTCGCACACCGAACCTGAAGACGGGGAGGGGGAGGAGGAGAAGGCCGCGGTGGCGCTGGAGCGCCGGCCCCGCGCGTTCTCGTCGGACGAGGCAGCTGCAGCTGCTGGCCCAATTTGGCGCGGCGCGGCGGGGCCAGGGGCTGCAGACGCGTCGCCGGCTTGAGTCGTTCTATTCCTATTCTTCTGAAGCTTCCGCAGGTTCTCGGCATGCTCTGCCTCGATGATCTCCGCGCGACCGAAGAGCACCCTAGAAGACCTTCGTCACTCCTTCGAGGTGCCGGCGAATGACGACGCCCTCGATGGGGTCGCGGCCCTCCTTTGAGAGCTCGCACACGTCGGCGTCGAAGTAGCACGAAGTCCGCGAGGGCGCCCAAGCTTTTCACAGATGTTCTCGACGGAAGCCGGACGCTGAGCCGTCGCTTCGCTCGCGCCGCCCACCGACCCCGCCAGCGAACTCAGAAACAAAGTCCTAGCACTCCTGGTCGGCCTCGCCCAACGGCACAGACAGCTCGTGGCGCGCTGCTGGCGGACCCAGCTCTCACGAGTTCGGCAGGCGTCCGACTCGGCGAACTCGTGGCCGAGCGCCCCCTCCAGCGCAGGGGCCACGGCGCCACAGTTGGGGAATTGCTGCTGGAGTGGCTCAGCTAGGGACTGCTTGAGCAAGCCGCCCAGCCTTTCCTACACCTGCCGGCGACGCCCACGTCGCCCGCTCTCTCGACCAGGGCGATAACGTCTCGAGGTCGTCGGCATCGAGGTCGCAGTTGCTTCGGGGTGGATCGCCGGGCTCAGCGGGCTGGCGCGCGATCGCGAAGAGCGAAAGAAGCCGAGAGCTGCGACGTGGGCGCCTGCCCCGCGGAGCCTCGGCAGCGCCCTGAGCGGGCGCCCCCTCTCTCCCGCCATGGCATCGCACGCAGAAACTCCGCGATGGCGAGTTCCTGCGGCACCCACGCCATGCACAGATCCAGACGGCCGCTGACAGCTGGGATGGCGTCGCAGACCGTGTAAATAATGGCCTGCGCTGGGGCCAGGGAGGGAGCTGCTTGGCGTATCCGCCCGCGTCGAAAGCACGCCCCTGGCCCTCGCCGCCATTGGTCTGCTTGCCATTGCCGTTTTTGTCACCGGGCGCAGGACCTCCGCCACCGCTGCCACAGTCAGCACCGCCCACGGCCTGGCCCCACTGACAAAAGGAAGCAAAGACAGGGGGGCGTGACCGCTGGAAGGGGAGGGCCTCGGCTGCAGCCAGTCGCCTGCGAATAGCACGGCGACAATAGCACAAATCAGGAAATCGATTTTGCCATCTTGCGCTCTTGCGCCGGATCGAGAACGTTCTCGATAGCACAAATCAGGGAATCGACTTCGCCCTCTTATATTATTTTCTCTTGCGTTGGATCGAGAACGTTCTCGATCGCGGGTGATCTGCGCTATGTTACTCGCGCGTCGCGCGAATCTGCTCGACTCTGTCGGTGAAAGTAACCCCAGCGGCGAGAGGGGGGGGGCCTGACGCGCGCTACGCGAGCCGCGCGCGATGCGAGCCGTTCCGCGGAGACCAAGTCAGGAGGGGAGAGGGAGGGGGAAGGGAGGGAGGAGGGAGGGAGAGGGGAACGAGGGGAGGGAGGAGGGAGGGAGGAGGGAGGGGAGGGGAACGAGGGGAGAGGGAGGGAGGAGGGAGGGAGAGGGGAACGAGGGGGAGGAGAAGGAGGAGGAGGAGGAGGAGACACCGTGTGCCCACATCGCATCGAACGCTGGCCCCCGGGCAACTCTGACGAGGGCAAAGAAACGCACAGATGGCCGCAGTCGAGAGGGAGAGGAGGAGGTGGAGGAGAAGGATGAGGAGGAGGAGGAGGAGGGACCAACATAGCACAGGTCAGCAGGAGCGGGGGCGTCGCCCCTGAAAGAGGAGGTTCGATGGACAGGGGCTAGGAGGAGGAGGAGGTGGAGGAGGAGGGGAAGGACGAGGACCCATGCCAAGAAAACACCCTGCTTGCCCCCAGGTTGCCCTGGGTTCATCGGGTTGCGACTGCCTGGCCATGGAAGCATGGCGCTCCCACGCCGACAAATCCATGGGCGCCCTGGTGTCTGAGGGTCGGTTTTCTTTCGGAAGGCTTCTTGTGGTCGAACTCCTATTGCATCTCTCCTTCGCTTTGGGGGCAGGGGGGGATCCGAGGAATGGCCTCGCGCGTTGAGTGGCGCTGCACGGGTGCACGGTGCAAGGGCGAGGAGGGGGAGTAGGAGGCACACAGGGCCAACATACCACAGGTCAGCAGGACTGTGGACACAGAAAACAGTTGTATACATGTCCCCGTTCCCTGTACCTATTGCTGCTACTCCACCTCTACCTCCACGTCCGGCCCCTCTCCTCCCTCCAGTTCTCTTTCTCTCCTTCGAATCATGGGGGAGGCGCGACGATAGCACATCGCGCATATAGCTCGAAACAGGGAACGTTATTAGCACACAGAAACTTGGACAGGGGCCGTTCTCGACCTCCCCGGAACACAAAAAAACAAAGCAGCCGAGACATCAACACATTGGGTTCAGAAAATACGAAAAGAAGATTTACCATACGTCAAAAGCGACCACTCGCAATAGCACAAATCGATTAGGGCCTGTGCTATTTGAAAGCGCCCGAGTATAACGATCTCCATGAGCTGTTCCACAGTTCGAGACTGCAAAGCCCGACATGGGCCTGGAAAGGCTGGAGGGGGAGGGGGACGGCGAGAACGAGGAGGGGGAGGAGGAGGAGGAGGAGGAGGAGGAGGAGGAGGAGGAGGAGGAGGAGGAGGAGGAGGAGGAGGAGGAGGAGGAGGGAGGAGGGGGGCAGCTCCGTCTCGTCACTGGCACCATCCTCCATCCCATTTCTTTATAAACGGATCGTCCCGAGCCGTGCTTCGCCGGTCCTGGGGCCCTGCAAGGGCACCCCGGAGACTGAGAACGACGAAAAGCCTCCGCTTGGATTTTCCCAACACGTTGGAGCGCTCTGGAGCGAGTCATCATTGGCCCAGGCCTGCTTCGATCGATCACCGCTTCGATCCCCTGGGCCAGCCCTGTGGACGCCTGGAATCGGTTCGGAAAACGTTGTGGCGATGCACAGCAACACATTTTGCACAAATCTGTTGGGCAAGCGAGATTGTGTTTCAAATGGACAACGACCGCGACGACGCCAACAGCGAATCCTGAACGGAATGAACAAGAACTGCTGGTGGACTGTGCCCAGTGTTTCCGTACCCATTTCGGTCCCCCCGAAGCCTGGGCCGCGTCGTGGTACTCCCTGAGGTTGCCCGGGGGGACGGGCAGATGCCTTGTTCGCGCGGCACCCGCGGCGGAGCCCTCGCGGGACACGTTCCCAGCAGAGACCTCCCGGCGCACCAGGGGGGATTGGCGGCGCGCCCAGGGGGGAAGTGAGAGGGGGCGGTTCGGAGAAGGTCCAAAACTTATCAGGAGGAAAGTGAGAGGCCGCCTCTGTCTTTGGAGAAGGTTCAAAACTGATCGGGAGGCTGGAGGCCAACTGAACCTTCTGGAAATGGCCCGCCCCCTCTGGTATGCCCCCCAGGCTCGCCGCCGAGGAGAGGAAGGCGGACCCTGAGACCCGGGCGCCGCAATCCCACCAGAATCCCACCAGTCCTTTCGGGCGTCAATGGTTTAGGGCGTTTCCACTTCCAACCATCTTCTTCCCATTCGGGGAAGGGTTATCACTCTTCCTATTGATAAGCACCCCTTCCCCCAGGCGACCGGCAGCCAACAAGTCCCCATGTCGACCCTCCCCACCATCCCTGTCCAGAAACTATACGCTATACACTTTGCCTCCAAATCTGGAACATGCGCGGGCGCCCCACGACAACTTTGAATTGGCTGTTGAAAGGGACGACGTGCGGGGGCTCATACTGCTTGCTGCGCACAGGCCAACCCTCCTTGTCAAATATCTATATAAAAGACACGTGGCATCCAAATCTGGAGCATGCGCCGGCACTACGCGACAACTCTGCGCTGGTTTCTGAAAGGGACGGCGGGGGTGCCCTCGTATTGCTTGCTCCGCGCAGGCCAGCCGTCCCTGTCAAATCCGCCGCCGTACCTTCAGGCGCGGCGAGGCGCGTCCTGAGGTCCCTTCCTGTAGTCCTCAGTCCTCTGGACGAATGACCCTTGGGAGGAGGAGGAGGAGGAGGAGGAGGAGGAGGAGGAGGAGGAGGAGGAGGAGGAGGAGGAGAGAGGAGGAGGAGGAGAGGAGGAGGAGAGGAGGAGGAGAGGAGGAGGAGGAGGAGATGGGAGGGATGGAGGAGGAGGCGTGTCCTGAGGTCCCTTCCTGTAGTCCTCAGTCCTCTGGAGGACTGACCCTTGGGAGGAGGAGGAGGAGGAGGAGGAGGAGGAGGAGGAGGAGGAGGAGGAGGAGGAGGAGATGGGAGGGATGGAGGAGGAGGAGGAGGAGGAGGCCCAGCACCCCCAATTGTCAGAGATTCTGGGGCTTGCCGCGGGCTCCCGGCGGGATCCTCGGCGTCCTGTCGGGTGCCTTTTTCTCGGGCCCCCAGAGGGCCACAGGCCCCCAAGAGGGGCCATTCAGAGATCGGCCCAAGACGTCCACGACGGCTTCCAGAACGCCCAAGACGCCTCCAAGACGCCCCCAGGAGGCCTCAAAGAGCACTCTCAAGAGAGCCCAGCGAGGCAGAAACTAATGGCTTCCCTTGGCAGTATGTTGTTCGCACTCTCGCCTTGTCAGCTTCCCGACGCTCCACGAACACCTAAAAGATCCCAAAGATCGCTCCCAGACGGCCCAAGGGGCCCCAGAAGGCACTCAAGACAGCTCAAGACGGCCCAAGAGGCGTCCAAGACGGCCCCAGAGGGCCCCAGGACGGTCCCAAGAAGGGCCCCAGAGACAGAACGCGAACCGAAAATACACGCCTTCCGCTCCAAGAGGCTCCCAAGAGGCCCCAGGAGGCCCCCAGGAGGCCCCAAGAGGCCCCAGGAGGTCCCAAGAGGCCCACAAGCAGCCCCAAAAATGCCCAGGGCCCAAAAGATGCCCCAAGAGGCCCCCAAACGGCCCCCGACAGGCCGCAGACCTGCCTCCAAGAGGCCCCCGAAAGGCTCCGCACGAGATCCACAACGAACACCCAAGAGGCTTCATGCTTTTGGCAGCTCTCTAGTTTCTCATCAGGAGCCGCGCTCTCCAGCTGCTGTCGGCCTGCGGTACTGTTTCTCGTGCGTGTGCTGTGCTCTCCACCCTTGGCCTCTGGAGTTCGAGCTTGTCGTTAAACTGCTCCTCTTCCAGTGCGTAGTCAGTTGTACTCCACTCAGCGTGAGAAGCCGGAGAAGGAGGAGGAGGAGGAGGAGGAGAAGGAGGAGGAGGAGGAAGAGAAGGAGGAGGAGGAGGAGGAGGAGGAGGGAGAGGGAAAGGAGGAGGGGGAGGAGGAGGAGGAGGAGGAGGAAGAGGAGGAGGAGGAGGAGGAGGGGGAGGAGGAGGCGGAGGAAGAGGAGGAGGAAGTTGTTTTCGATCACTGCTCCTCGTCCCGGTCCCCTTCCTCTTTTCGCCCCTCCTTCGCGCCATTCCCCACGGCCTGGGTTGGGCGCACGGCCTGTCTGACTACCTACCAAACCACCCCAACCCAACCCGAAGACCCGAATCTGACCCGAATTTCGGGTTTGGGGGGGTACGGGTTCCATGTGTGTTTTTCCATGTTCCCCGACCCGCCCACACCAGAGATGAAGGGCAAATTGAGGCCTTCGGGTTGGGTTGGGTTGGTTTGGTGGGTGGTGACTGTCGGGCCTGCGAGCCTCCCACGCCTAAGTGTCGAGGTCGAAGGCAGCACACGGCTCCTCTTGTGGTTCGCGCGCTCTCGGCTCGCCTCGGGCCCCATCATGCCAGCGGCTACGACGTAATCCCACCGGGGTCCGTCCACGAGAAGAATCCTTCAACTAGAGAACCCAGCCCTGAGACCCCAGGACGCCCATGGATGTTTGACTACCTACCAGACCACCCCAACCCAACCCGAAGACCCGAATTTCGCCCGAATTTCGGAATGGGGGGGGGGACGAGTTCATGTGTTTTTCAATGTTCACCGACCCCCCCCCCCACCGGAAATGGAGGGCAAATCGGGGCCTTCGGGTTGGGTTGGGGTGGCTTGGTGAGCGGTGAATTTTGGGCGTGGGAACGTCGCGCTCTCCACAGCAAGACCACCGAAGCCCAAGAAGCCCTGGGCACCCTGGAGGCGAGCAGGGCGTTCCTTGGCATGGGTCTCCACTGCATAGCTGCTGCGTTGCCCACCCTTTGTTCTCTTCTGTGTGTGACCTTAGAGGGCGTCCAGCTGAAAGGGGGTGGTGCAATAGATTTGGGGCAATTGTATTGCAAACGTATTGCGCCGGAGAAGTGTACTGCATTGTATTGCAAGTAATCTATCGCACGCGAAAATCCAGCATTACATCGGCGCCCCGACATGTACTGCACGCCCCAAATGTACTGCAACGCCATGAATATATTGCACCAAATCTATTGCACCACCCCCTTATCGCCGGACCTGCATGGGTCGGGGGCGCTCGGCCGCAGGCACTTCGTCATCCGAGCGGCGCCGCACCGCCCGCTCCGACACTCGACGACGACGACGACGACCTCCCGCTCCCCCTCTCCCTGCTCTTAGGTCGGGCATGTCCCCCTTACAGGCGGATTTGGGCGAGAAATTGATGCTCAAAAACTCGTCCCCTGACTATTTTCTTGACTAACTTTGACAGGCCCGACTTAACCCTACTCCTCCACCTCCTCATCCTCGTCCTCCGCTTCCTCCTCCCTCCTCCCCCTCCTGGGACACGACGTCTCAACTGCCCAGCCCACTGCTCCACTGCATGCTCCTCCGCATTCCCGATCCGGATCTCGTCTGGGGATCGTTTCTGCATGGGCCGGTGGAGTTCCGCGAGGCGTGCATCACTCTTTCACGCTGGCCGTGTTCGCCCTGCCTCGGGCCCCTCGGCCATCACGGATCCATCGGGCTCGAGACGTGCGGCAGAGAGATCGGGTCTGGGGCTCTGGTCCCCCCGATGTCCGCCCACCTCGGACGCTGTTCGATTCAGAGAAGAAGCAGTGGCAGCAGCATAAACACTCGGAGGTCCGCGCGGATTCCTCGGATCGGCGCTGGGGGCCCCCTGGCGGCGCCTCCAGCTGGCCGCGCTCCGCGCGCCAGCGAGGGGGGTCCAGCGCCGATCCGAGCAGTCCGCGCGGACCTCCGAATTGTCATGTTTGTGTCACTGCTTCTTTCCCTATCGACGGCCTGCGCACGGGAAAACCGATGCCCACCGAGTTCGCCTCGGGGCACCACTCAGCCAAACCCTTATTTACCTCCTCCTCCTCCTCCTCCTCCCCCCTCCTCCCCCCCTCCTCCTCCTCTCTCCTCCCCCTCCTCCTCCTCCCCCCTCCTCCTCCTCCCCTCCTCCTCCTCCTCCTCCTCCTCCTCCTACTCCTCCCCTCCTCCTCCTCCCCCTCCTCCTCCCTCCTCTTCCTACCTTCCTCCTCCTCCTCCTCGTCCCCCTCCTCCTCCTCCCCTCCTCCCCTCCTCCTCCTCCTCCTCCTCCTCCTCCTCCTCCCCCTCCCTCCTCCTCCCCCTCCTCCTCCTCCTCCTCCTCCCCCCTCCTCCTCCTCCGCGCAGCTCACGGCCAGGGCGCTCGGAGGGGCCCCGAGAGCCCCATCGCGGGGCAGCCCGAGGCGGCCTCCGCTCGCGGCCTCTCACAAAGGCAGGGGCGAGAGCGGAGGTCTTCTTCGGGGTCCCCCGTGCGGGGCAGCCCACGGGAGAGGCGCTGCTCGGCGGCGAGCCGATGGGGGGAAGTTTGAGAGCTTCGGGTTCCTCCTCCAGGGGGGGAGGAGGGAGAGGAGGAGGGGCGAGGGCGGAGGCCCAGGAGGGCGAAGGACACAGAAGGAGACGAAGAGGAGGAGGAAGAACGAGACCGGACAGGGGGGAGAGGAAGACGGAGGAGGAGGAGGAGGAGGAGGAGGAGGAGGAGGCGGAGGCGGAGGAGGAGGAGGAGGAGGGGGAAGTGAAGGGGCCCAGGGACACACAAACAAATACACACACACACACACACAAACACAAGTACCACTATTCCCTGTACATTTTCTCGTATGTTCTGGACTTTCGTCGTGTCCCCCACGCCCCCTATTTTCCCATGTTTTCCTGGGGATCGACGGTCAATTGTGTCTGTGTGTTTTCCCCTCCTGATCGAGGCTGAAGGTTTTCGGTTGTACTCGTCGGTGCTCGGCGGTCTTCCAGCCTCGGGGTGCGTTCCAGCGGCTGCGCCATGCCGAGAACGTTCGGGGATGCCCAAATCGACCTGAACGACCGCTGGGGACCCGAGATATAACCCAGCAACCACCGGTCGTCCGAGAGGGGCAGGGCGAAAGCGGCGGGGCTTCCCAGAAGCCCTCGCGCCTTCTGAGGAACCGCCAGAGAAGGCTTAGAAAGCTTCTCGGAAGGCTGAGGGCCTTCTGAGCCTTCTGTTAGGTCGGGCATGTCCCCCTACAGGCGGATGTTGGGCGAAAAACTAAAAAGACTCAACAAAAATACCCCAATCATAGCCAACAAATGCTCAACAAAATCGTCCCCAGACTATGCCTCGACCATTTAGGAATATTCCTCCTGTAGGGGGACGTGCCCGACTCAAGCTCGGAAAGCTTCTCGGAGGGTTGGGGGCCTTCTGGGCCTTCCGAAGCCAGCCGCTCTGCCTTCTGCCCTGGGCGCGTCGCCAACCTGCATCCTCCCCCCCACACCCCTGCGCCCCCCCCCCAAGCGGCACCGCGCAATTCACGGCCGCGCCGACCAGAAGAGCCTCGGCACACAGAGTGGTGTAGTGAGAGGAGGGGGCGCGGATGGGCCAAGACAAACAGCCGACGCAAGCAGGATCGAAGCGAGAGCAAGCGATGGAACACGAGAATGACCGAGTGGGAGATGCAAATGGACACACCAACAGATGGAGGCATGGCAGAGTAGCAAGGAGACGCACAAGATGCGGAGTGCAATGTCTGGGCGGAACAGACAAACAGAGAGTGAGTCAAGGCGGCCAGCGGCTGCCGCAGAGACAGACAGAGGGAGGAGGAGGAGCAGCAGCAGCAGCAGCAGGAGCAGGAACGGGAGCAGGAGAAAGAGCACGAGAAGAAGGAAGAAGAGGAGGGGGGAGGGAGGAGAAGGGAAGAGGAGGAGGGAGGGGCGGGAGGAGGAGGAGGAGGAGAAGCAGGAGGAGGAGGAGGAGAAGGACGAAGAAGGATAATGGGAGGAGAGAGGAGGAGAAAGAGAATGAGGAGGATTGAGGAGAGGGGAGGAGGGAGGCTGAGGAGGAGGAGGAGGAGGAGGAGGAGCAGGAGGAGCAGGAGGAGGAGGAGCAGGAGCAGGACCAGGAGCAGCAGCGGACATCTCCGGCGCCTCCCGGCGCCTCCTGGCGCCGGAGGCATCGAGGCAAGGCGCCCGCCCGCCGCCCCCCTCGAGAGCCTCGCGGAGCGGGGCCTCCCACGCAGGAGCCGCCGCACCGCGCTGGCCTCCCGAGCCGCTCGCCCTCGTCCCGCCCACGGCTCGGGCGGGCGCTCTCCCTGGCCAGGGCGCGCACCCTCGAGAGATGGCCGCGCCGCGCGCGACGAGCGCGCCCTTCGGGAAGCAGGGAGGCTCCTGTGATATGTCCGGTAAGGGTCGTTCCTCCGGGGGGGAGCAGGTTCGGCTTTGGACAAACCTCCCTTCAGTAAACCTCCCTTTGGTGAAAACGGCCCGGGGCCGAAAGCGACGGCCCTGGACCCGCAAGAACGACGGCCGCGACGCCCTCTCGCGAACCGAAAACGGCCCATTCCTTCATCGACGTGTCAGGGTACAGTCGGGGCGTTGACCTAAGGAACCCTAAATAAGGAACGAGGCGCCTTTTTTCCAGAAGCTCAACTTCGATTTCCTATCGAGAACATCGGAAAACCTGAGGCAAGCTGTGAAACACTTAAGGAACGCGGAGCCCCTCCCCAACGAAAAGGGTTCCATCTTCAGGGCCCCGACTGCAGGAGGTCTGTCCAGCCCCGACAGGTAACGGGAACGCCTGGGGCGGGGTGGGGCCCGTCGGGGGGGGGTGGCGCTGCGATCGCCGCCGCCAGCTATGTTGGGGGGAGGCCCAGGCCACCCTCTCCTGCGCACGATCCCTACCGTTGCCAGCGGGGGCACGGGGGGGGACCAGGGGGGGGGGGCCGGGCAGCGATCGCCGCACGCCACAGGGCAAAAAAACAATTTAAGGATGAGGACCTAGAGCTGAGACCTGTCTGGCCTGATCAGCTCCACATCGAGCACGAACTGTGACCCACGGCCTGCCCTGGGCGACTGGGCAGAGCCTTCTGAACGGTAGCACTCGCCAGAGCCTGCTGCCCCTCTCGCCCGGGCTGATTCCACGTTAGCACCGTAGCTGATGAGAGGGACGGGGGAAGTTGGACTCCTGCACCGCAGCTGGTCTCCCCACCGACCAGGAGCAGCAGCGGCGTTTGGACACCCGAGATGGGCACGGAGAAGAGGGGTACGCTGCCCAACAGCAAATGCTGTCCAAAGCCGACACAGGCCGCTGTCGGACAGACGCCTCTCGGTCTCGAACGGACGGCGACGCCGACAGCGGGTGTTGTTCCAAATGAACATGAGCTGGTGTCCGTCTTTCTCCCCATTCCAAACGGCAGGTTCGTGCGGCGACGACTCGGGCGCTGGATTCTGATACCGCGTGGATCGTTCAACCTTGAACGATCGCGGCTTCCCGATAGCGTAGATCCTTCGTTATCGGCCAATTCTGGCCCACCAGCGGCGTTCAACATTGAACGCCCGTGCTGGGGTCGCGTCGACGCGGCACGAACCTACCGTACCCCCTTGTAGAGCAAGAAGAGCAAGAAGAAACAGCATAAACATCAATTTTCGGAGGTGCGCGCGGCATTCTTGGATCTGCGCTGAAGCCCTCTCCCCGGCGCGTGGAGAGCGCGCCAGGGGCGGCGCCAGAGGCGCCGCCAAGGGGGGGGGGCCCAGCGCAGGCCCGAGAAATCCGCGCGGAGCTCCGAAAGTTGACGTTTATGCCGGTCGGGTTCCTCGGATTTCGACCGTGCCGACATCGCCCACACGCAGGGGTGACCGTGGATGGGGGTGACCTCTGGTGCGCGGCCTTCGCGAAGCGCGAGGGGGCCACAAGCCAGTGCTGGGGGACACCCCTGTGGGCCCGCACCGTCAGGGCCCTTCGGCGAATGGCCCCTCTTTAACGGGCGAAGAACGGTATCAGATAAACTCTCCAGCCGCCCAGGGGCAGGTGTCCCCGACGGCGAAAAAAAAATGTTATACCGTTTTTCGTTCGCTGACATCTTACGTGCAGCCGACGAGGGCACGGCAACAGCAGCAGGCAGCAGGCAGGAGCACAGCACCGGAGGGGGCCCGCAGCGGCACGGCAGCAGAGGCACAGAAGCAGCAGCAAGGGCGAGATCACACCACAGCAGCAGCAGCAGCAGCAGCAGCAACAGCAGCAGCAGCAGCAGCAGCAGCAGCAGAGGGGGGCCGCAGCGGCGGCGGGCGCGGGGCACGCCGGCACACGAGGCGCCTGCGGGCCTGCCGGCGCGGCGGCCACGGCGGGGTGGGCGCCTGCGCTCCGTCTTTTCTCGGGGGTGCGGGCGGGGGGGGTGGGCGGCAGTGTTTCCAACCCTCCTGCGCTGAGGTATCGTTGAATGGAGCACTGCGGTTGCGACCTTTTCCTCCCGCCTCTTTTCTCTCCTCGCCCCCCTGCCTGGTACACTGTCGCCTACCTGCGTTCCGCCGTGCCCCGCACTTGCAATCTACCCTGCCTCCTCGCCATCCGCGGGGGGCTGGCTGCGAACTGCGAAACGGTCGACACTTCCGAAGGTTGCCGGGGGGCCGAACCCATGCCGTCCCACGCAGATCAGAGCGGGTTCTCGCCCTCGCTGGGGGGCTGCGAACTGCGAAATTGTCGCCACGTTCGAGGGTTGCTGGGTGGCCCCGCGGAGGGATGCTCTACGCGGGCCCAAAAGAAACCTCGCCATCCCGAGGGGTGCGATCTGCGTAACAGTCGCCACTTTCGAAGGCCGGCGGGGGTCCAGCGGACTGACGCCCTGCGCGGACAAAGAACACACGACGCCATCCCTGGGGGCCGCGACATGCAAAACTAGCAGTATTTCCGAAGGCTGCTGCGGGATCGAACGTCCCAGGCGGATCTCCAGAAGACCTCGCCATTGCTGGGAGGGGGCATGCGATATGCCAAACTGTCGCCACGTTTGGGGGCTGCTGGGAGGACCAGCGGGCGGCGCCCCACGCAGACCTAGAATAGACTTCGCCGTCGCCGGGGGGCTGCGATGTGTGAAACTGCCGCCACTTCCGAAGGTTGCTTGCGTGTCCAGCGGAGCGACGTCCCACGCGGACCTGAAGCAGACCTCGTCATCGCTCAGGGGCTGCGATGTGCGAACGCGTCGTCACTTTCGATGGCCGCTGGGGTGTCCAGCGGAACGACACCCCACGCGGACGAAAAAAATACCTCGCCGGCCCTGGGGGCTGGGTGCTGCGAAACAGTCGCCATTTCCGAGCAGCGGAGCGACGTCCCACGCGGAGCTCCACTAGACCTCGCCATCGCTGGAGGGGTGCGATATGCAAAACTGACGCCACTTTTGTGGGCTGCTGGGATGTCCAGCGGGGCGGCGCTCCACGCAGGCCTAAAATTGACTTCGCCATCCCTGGGGGGCTGCGATATGTGAAACTGTCGCCACTTCCGAGGGCTGCTGGGGGGTCCAGCGGAATGACGCCCGACAAGGACAAATAGAAGGCCAGCCCCTGCGGCAAGAAGCTCGCGGAGCTCGGTCTCAGCATCGATGCCTCGGAGACGGCGGGCCTCGGATTCCACAAGCCCGCTCGACTACCACAAGCCGAAGGTCACGCGCACCGGCCTGGTCATTTCCCACGCCGAGGTCCTGACGTCCGCGGCCTGCCAGGGCTGGGCCATGCACCGCGGAGTCATTGCCGACACCGGGCACAAGGACGCGGAAGACCTGGACGCCCCGTGGCTGCATCTCTACGTGATGCTCTCCAGAGAGACGACGGTGGACACCCTGCTGATGATACTTGGCCCTGGCCTGGATTCCTTTCCCTTGTGCCGCCTGCAGATCCTAAAAGCAGATTTGGAGCGCCACGGCGGCATAGCGAAGGCAGCGACGATTGTTCAGCATACTACTGGAAAAAATAAGTGTCTTTCTGATCCCGCCTCTACCGTCGTCGTCCTCTTCCCCTTGCCACCTTCTCCCAGCTGTTGCTGCCGCGCTGGCTTTTCGGTCCTCCGTCCGTCCTTTTCCTGCCCATCGTTCCCGCCCGCGTTTTTCTTCGAGCCTCGGGCCTCACTCCTCGTCCTTCTATCGCTGTTCTGTGAATCGTGCAACGTACGCGCATCCCACATAGCTTGCACAGCGAATGACGGCTCTTGCACTGTCGTTGTTCATGGAAGTGTTGGCAAGCTCCTCTTGTCACTTGATGCATGTGGGTGGGGTACGTCGCGAGGTATTTGTTCGGCACGCGACGAGCGCCCGTTGCTTGATCCACCTGCAGGCAGAATGCAATGTGCTTGTGAGCGATCAGCCACATGAGACGGCACTGCAAGAATCGCAAATAGCCATATCGAGAAAACTACCCTAATTTAATGGCGGGGGGGACACGGAGTTCTACCGTCAACGCGTAGAATGAGAACGCACGATAAGGATGCCAGGGCCTTGGAGGGCCATGTTGGCACTTTTCGAGCGGGGCGCGGCCAACGAGTGGCTAAGGATGCAAGGGTAGCCTTGGAAAGTCGCTCATCCGTACAATCCGCGTTGGCTTTACCCCCGCCAACCATCGATTCTCCTGAATCGATGGGAGGCGGGGTCAGGGTTCGTAGTTCGCCTCGTGCTCGGCGAATTCTGAACCCTACCCCCGCCGCCAGTCGGGTCGCCTCAATCGTGGATCGGTGAGGGTAAGCTTGCCTGAGCCTCAATAACAACAGTCTTCCTGCCCCCTCTCTGCTTGGAGGCGGCCGGGAAGTCTGAGTTGGATGGGACCCGAGAAAATCTTGCAAGACGTGACGATCGAACAACACGCACCCATACCCATAGGGGGGACGGAGGAGGCTATGGGTGCGTGTCGTCGGACGGGGGTCCCCGCTCGAACGGGAGCCTCCCCCAGGGTCCGACAACTCGCACCCATACCCACAGCCAGTTCCCCTCCTTTCGACCCTCCTATGGGTACCCACTGGTCGGAAGAAGTAGGTGGAAACATGAAGTAGGAAGGCGTTGGAAATAGATTGGGTTTCCGCCCGCCTCCTGCAGAGGAAGGAAGAGGAAGGAAGAGGCGCTGAAAATAGATTGGAATCTAGGAATCCAGAAATACCTACTTCCAACGACCGATGGGTATGGGTGTGAGTTGTTCGCCCGGCAAGACGGGCTGAGAAGGCAAAGCCTAGTCAGAAGCTGCCCCCAAAAAACGGCCCCTCCTCGAGCCCGGAACCTCGACCCTCGGCCGCCCGTGCCCGCTCGCTGGAACCAGTGCTAGGCTCAAGTCGGGCCTGTCCTCCTACAGGGGGATCTTGGACGAAAAATTGTTTAATATAAAAAAAAAAAAAAAAAAAAAAAAAAAAAAAAAAAAAAAAAAAAAAAAAAATGCCCCAAAATACTCAAAAGATGGTCCCCTGACTATGTTTGGGACTATTTTTGGACCTTCCCCCTGTAGAAGGACAGGCCCGACTTGATGCCAGGCGCCTCAGACCAATCACCCACCACGACCGACAGCGAGCCCCGCTCAGACTGGACGGGAACTGCTAACTGCTGTCGGTCTTCGTACCCGCTCCTTCCGTGCGGCAGGTTCGCGCGGCGACGGCTCGGGCGTTGGCTCCTGGCACCGCGTGGATCGTTCCACGTTCCACCTTGACCTGATTGGAGGCTTGGAAATTGGCACCAACACCAACACAGGGGGTTGCCTCCACAGGGGGAAGATGATCCTAGATTTTCGGTGTTGGTGGTAACAGTTCGGTCACCTTGGAAGCCAGAACATTACCACCGTCACCGAGATCGGGATCTTCTTCCCTCGGTGGAGGCACACCGCCGAAATTGGTGTTGGTGGCAATCTCGCAATCTCTAGGCCTGCGACCTGACGTCACGGCTTCCCCATAGCGCAGATCCTTAGACATCAGCTGGCTCTGGGCCACTGGCGGCGCTCCACCTTGAACGCCCGCGCTGGGGCTGCCGCCGCGTCGACGCGGCGCGAACCTACCGTACCCACCTCGATCGTACCGGTCCCTGCTCCCCCCCCTCCACCGGCCCCACCCACAGCGAACCCCGCTCGAAATGGACAGGAACTACTGTCGGCTTTCGTGCCCACTCCTTCCGTACCCACTTCGATCGCACCGATCGATCCCTGCTCCCGGGGATACCAAAAGGTGCCCATACCGCTACTCCCCAGACCTCTCCCAGGGTGCGTTCTGACCTGGCTTTCGAGGCTCCTCCTCTGAGCTCCCCTCCCCGCCCCGCCCTCTGAGAGTGTGCCAGAACGCTCCAGACCGATGCATCTCGATCCGAGGCTTGCCTGGCCCAGGGTCAGTCAGGCCCTGCAGGATCCTGCAAGCCCCTGCAGGGTCCTGCACACTGGCCGGGATCGGTGCAGCCCCGGCTCTGCAGGATCCTGCTGGATCTCCGGCGCCCTGGCTGATCCCCGTTTGCTAAGACGAAGCCAGACAGACAGACAGACAGACAGACAGACAGACAGACAGACAGACAGACAGACAGACAGACGCCATGCACAACATAGGTGCGTTGGCAGAAGTTGTGAGACATACTAGACAATTGGGTGAAACGGCAAGCGTGCTAAGCATAGGAGGAGGAGGAGGAGGAGGAGGAGGGGGAGGAGGATAAATTCGAGTACGGATAAATCGAGAATATATGAAATCCAGCGGTTCTGGAGGATGTCTCGGGCGCCGCGGCCTTCTCAGAGCGTTCCGGAACGCTCTGCAGGGCGTTCTGGAGCGCTCCCGAACGGATTTTATCCTCGTCCTCGCCCCGTCCGATTTGCCTCGACCCCTGTCCCCTTGCACCGAGGCTGGACCTATACGGTGTTTTTCGTGTTGTTTTCGTTTTGTGGTTCGCTTTGCTCTGCCTGTTGTACTGTACACCCCCCTGCCAAAACGAAACACAAGACGCAGCCGAAGCCCAGCAAAACGGCGTTCAGGTCCAGCCCTGCCTTGCCTCGACCCCCGTCCCCTGGAGCCCCCGTCCCGCACTCTGGGCATCGCTCGGACGTCCATGCCCTGTGTTTTTGGTCGGCTTCGCGCGTGGCTTTTCCGCCGAATGATCCAGGATGCTCCTGGATAGTCCTCGCCGAAGGAAAAATGCACACGTCCGAGCGATGCCAAGGCACTGCCCCGCCCCGCCGCGGACGCCGGTTCTACTGCACACCGGGCCTAGGGGGGCCAACGAACGACCACAAAACACGTGCCGAGGCCCAGCAAACGCAATTAGGGTCCAGCCCTAGCTGCCTCGACCCCCTGTCCCTCCGAGCCCCCGTGCCGCACTCTGGGCATCGCTCGGACGTCCATGCCCTGTGTTTTTGGTCGGCTTCGCGCG